TAGACTATAGACTAGACTATAGACTAGACTATAGACTAGACTATAGACTAGACTATAGACTAGACTATAGACTAGACTATAGACTAGACTATAGACTAGACTATAGACTAGACTATAGACTAGACTATAGACTAGACTATAGACTAGACTATAGACTAGACTATAGACTAGACTATAGACTAGACTATAGACTAGACTATAGACTAGACTATAGACTAGACTAGACTAGACTATAGACTAGACTATAGACTAGAGTATAGACTAGACTATAGACTAGACTATAGACTAGACTATAGACTAGACTATAGACTAGACTATAGACTAGACTATAGACTAGACTATAGACTAGACTATAGACTAGACTATAGACTAGACTATAGACTAGACTACTATAGACTAGACTATAGACTAGACTATAGACTAGACTATATGTTAGACTATATACTAGACTATATACTAGACTATATGGTAGACTATAGACTGGACCATAGGCTAGTCTATAGACTAGACTAGACTATAGACTACACTATAGGCTAGACTATAGACTAGAACATAGGCTAGACTATAGACTAGACTATAGGCTAGGCTATAGACTAGGCTATAGACTAGACTAGACTATAGACTAGGCTATAGACTAGACTATAGACTAGGCTATAGACTAGACTATAGACTAGGCTATAGACTAGACTATAGACTAGGCTATAGACTAGACTATAGACAAGACTATAGACAAGACTATAGGCTAGACTATAGACTAGGCTATAGACTAGACTAGGCTATAGACTAGACTATAGACTAGACTATAGACTAGACTATAGACTAGACTATAGACTAGACTATAGACTATACTATAGACTAGACTATAGACTAGACTATAGACTAGACTATAGACTACACTATAGACTAGACTATAGACTAGACTATAGACTAGACTATAGACTAGACTATAGACTAGACTATAGACTAGACTATAGACTAGACCATAGACAAGACTATAGACTAGACTAGACTATAGACTAGACTATAGACTAGGCTATAGACTAGACTATAGACTAGACAATAGACTAGACTATAGACTAGACTATAGACTAGACTATAGACTAGACTATAGACTAAACTATAGACTAGACTAGACTATAGACTAGACTATAGACTATGCTATAAAATAGACTATAGACTTGGCTATTGACTAGACTATAAACTATACCATAGACTAGACTATAGACTAGACTCTATACTAGACTCTATACTAGACTATAGACTAGACTACAGACTAGACTCTATACTAGATAATAGACTAGACTATAGACTAGACTCTATACTAGACTCTAAACTATAGACTAGACTTAAATTTTTACTACAGATAGACTTTTAAAAACACCTTAAAATATGTAACATTAATTTTGAATCCCCTTTTAAACAGTCTTGCAAAGAGACTCTGTCAATAATGCAAAATTACACAACGACATACAAACTAACATAAAAGTGTCCAGTGTAAATGGTTCACTTGCTTTTGGTCTCGTGTCATTTATATGATTAGTTTAATGTTTGTTTTTGTTTGTTCTTGCTGTATTTGTTGTTGCCGTATAAAATGACAAGTTGATTTTCATAATTTCTTTGATATGTTTGCTATACACATACAAAACTACACTCGACAAACCACAAACAAAACACAGAATTGAAAATAATATTTACAAAAGAAAAATAAACCCACAAAAAAATAAATAAACAAGTGCAAAATGAGTCCATTGACTTTAAGCTTTTCTTGTTGTTATTTTTGTAATTTCATTCATTTATGCACTTGTTGTTTTTATGATTAAAGCGTAGGAGAAAGAGTAGGTTTATTTTATATTCGTTCCTTTGTGCTTAAAGAATCAATAGTAATAATGTTAAGAGACAACTGTTGTTGCGATGTGATTGGGGGCACGTCTAACAAATTTACAAACCCAATTACTCATTCACTACCTTTAGACGGAATATCTACAGGTAGTATTTTTAAATATAGTTTTGTTTTTGTTTCTTAAGAATTGCAAAAAATAATATAAAACAGACTGAATGAATGACTTTAGTCTCAAAATCTAATATTTTACGTGTTTATTGGTTAGTCAGCTATTTAGTTGTAAATCTATGAAAAAAAACAGTGAAACCTTTTAAATATTACACATATAAGCTTTTAGTTTACAGAATTAATTCAAACTAAAGGGTCCCTCTTAAAGGGTCTTTTCTCTATTTGCTAAAAACCTGAAGTAGTATTACCTCAGTTTGCAAAAGTTAAAATAATAATTAATTATTTTTTAGTCTAATAAAAAACAACAAAAAACTGATATCATCTAGTATTAAATCATGAAAAATTAACATGAAATAAATAAACTATAATTATTTGCAATTAGTTTTTATATTTTTATTAAGAAAAAGCGCACAGTGGGGCGGTTTTCTAAAGAAATGATAAAGACGTAATATGACAATTACTGGTAAAATGTTACCTCAGACTATAGACTAGGCTAGACTATAAACTAGACTATAAACTAGACTATAAACTAGACTATATGCTAGACTATAGTCCTGACTATAGACTAGACTATAGTCCTGACTATAGACTAGACTATAGTCCTGACTATAGACTAGACTATAGTCCTGACTATAGACTAGACTATAGTCCTGACTATAGACTAGACTATAGTCCTGACTATAGACTAGACTATAGTCCTGGCTATAGACTAGACTATAGTCCTGAATATAGACTAGACTATAGTCCTGACTATAGACTAGACTATAGTCCTGACTATAGACTATAGTCCTGACTATAGACTAGGCTATAGATTAGACTATAGACTAGACTTTAGACTAGACTATAGACTAGACTATAGACTAGACTATAGACTAGACTATAGACTAGACTATAGACTAGACTATAGACTAGACTATAGACTAGACTATAGACTAGACTATAGACTAGACTATAGACTAGACTATAGACTAGACTATAGACTAGACTATAGACTAGACTATAGACTAGACTATAGACTAGACTATAGACTAGACTATAGACTAGACTATAGACTAGACTATAGACTAGACTATAGACTAGACTATAGACTAGACTATAGACTAAACTATAGACTAGACTATAGACTAGACTATAGACTAGACTATAGACTAGACTATAGACTAGACTATAGACTAGACTATAGACTAGACTATAGACTAGACTATAGACTAGACTATAGACTAGACTATATGTTAGACTATATACTAGACTATATACTAGACTATATGGTAGACTATAGACTGGACCATAGGCTAGTCTATAGACTAGACTAGACTATAGACTACACTATAGGCTAGACTATAGACTAGAACATAGGCTAGACTATAGACTAGACTATAGGCTAGGCTATAGACTAGGCTATAGACTAGACTAGACTATAGACTAGGCTATAGACTAGACTATAGACTAGGCTATAGACTAGACTATAGACTAGGCTATAGACTAGACTATAGACTAGGCTATAGACTAGACTATAGACAAGACTATAGGCTAGACTATAGGCTAGACTATAGACTAGACTATAGACTAGACTATAGACTAGACTATAGGCTAGACTATAGACTAGAACATAAGCTAGACTATACACTAGACTATAGACTAGACTATAAACAAGACTATAGGCTAGACTATAGGCTAGACTGTAGACTAGATTATAGGCTAGACTATAGGCTAGACTACAGGCTAGACTATAGACTAGACTATAGACTAGACTATAGGCTAGACTATAGACTAGACTATAGTCCTGACTATAGTCCTGACTATAGTCCTGACTATAGTCCTGACTATAGACTAGACTATAGTCTTGACTATAGACTAGACTATAGTCTTGACTAGACTATAGACTAAGGTATAGATTAGACTAGACTATAGACTAAAAATAGGTCCTTAAAAATAGAAATTGAGTCAAAATTTGGCATATTTTGTCTTTATAAATCAGTTCAATATTTGTCATATTTCGTCTATAGAAACTTGGCCAAATATTGATTAGAATAGGGCGTAGTTAAAATGATTACTTTTATAAAACGATTCAATTTAAATATTTATAAAACTTATTGTTTTTCTCAGACTAACAAAGGAAATAAGATATCACTTCATTATGCATTCATACATAAATAATAACGACACGATTATGGGTGTACGTGATCATTAACAGCAGCATTTGACCATGAATTTTCAGTTAAAAAAAATCAAATGCTAAAAAATTATGACTTTTTTAATAAGAAATTCTAATGAATGAAATTGTATTTTGCAAATGTTTTAACACAAACTGTTGGGAGAAATGTTAATAAACTTGTTTTTTTAAATTAACATTTAAAAATAAACATTTTGAAATAAAATATTTACTAAACTTGAAAATGTGCAAAATTTGTTAAAAAAAAGAAAGAAAGAAAGAACCTGGAAATGTTTAACTAAAATAAATAAACTTTGTTTTTGTTAATTCTTTGTTTATAGCAATTATTTACAGATATACGAAAATTCTTTAGATATAAAGGGGGTATTTCATAAAGAAAATTGTTTTTAAAACAACAATTTTAAAATAAATGAATTTTTTATAAAAAATGTTTAAATTCTTTTAATATTTTATTAGAAAATATAAAAATTAGCTCAATATTCTACTTTTTGTTTTTGTATTGCGTAAATTTTATTTTGTAGTTTTCTTTTTAATTCGGCTTGAAATGTTGGCAATAATATGGAGTATTTTTTTATAATTTTAAGATTAGCTATATGTTTTCTATCATTTTACAAAATTTTATCAAAATCGGTCCAGTCGTTTTGAAATTACAGCTTAATTTCTATTTGTTGAAAAAAAATTCTTTAACTATATCAAGCGTTGTTAAGAAAAAGTACCATAATTTATTGATTTAGTACTAAAATTTGCAACTGTGTTATTTATTTACTTCTCTTTATTTTTGTTTTTGCTATAACCTCTCATCATAGTGGCAGCTGTTGTGTTTTGTTATTTACTTTGAGGTTTTTTAATACAAAGTTAGAAAATTTTTAAAAATTTCTTAAATTTCTACAGAATAAATTAAATTTTTTAAACAAAAATGGATAAAAAAGATTCTAAAGAATCCACCACCTTGATATTTAAAAATATACCAAAACAAATAGATGATTTAACAGGACTTTTAGACAAATTAAAATTGCCGGCAAGAGAAGTTAAACCATTTGGACGCAAACGTGCTTTGATAACTTTTCAAGAAAAAAATGAAGCAGAACAGGCTTTAAGTGCTCTTAAAGAATTGGAATTTAATGGCAATTGTTGTAATATAGCAATATTTTGTAAAGACAAACCTAACAACAACAGCATAGTGCAAAAACCCAACAAAACTTCTATAAGAAAAAGCAATAAAAGTATACAGACCCAATTGGAAGACACGTCAGGAACAAAGGCTTTAAATAAAGAACAACAACTTAACAAGTACGTACAAAAGTTATATGCTGTAGAAGAAGAATTGGGTTTTAATCAGCCTCCTGCTCCCTATTTGAAATACACATATCCTCCTATAAATAAGGATATTTTAGATAACATTTGTATATCTTTGCTAAGTAATAAACGTTTCTATACACAAGCTTTACATCTAATGAATCGTATGAATTTGGAGCCACCTTTTAATAAAAGAAATTATAAATTTACCCCACCTGGGGTACCAAAGGAGGCACAAACCCAAACAGATGAAGTACAAATACAGGAAAAACAAACTTTATCTCTACAAGAAGAAATTGAAAGTGAATTGGAATCCGCAGAAGAAGAAGAATATAAACCAAAACCTAAACCTACACAACAACTAAAAAGAAAACTAACCAATCAACCAGAACAATATAAAAAGAAGGCCCGACAAATGTTGCTCTCTACACAAAAGTTAAATAAAGAAACGCACAAAAAACCAGCAAAAACTAATTTATCTATTAAGGAAATATTTGAGACAACAGAGCATAACTTAACCACCAGCAACAAAATAGAGTTGCAATTGAAGCCCAATAAAAAGGAAACCTCCAAATCCTTAGTATCACTATCCTCGAATTTAAATACACAAAAACTTTCTCTGGAAGAACTTGAAAAACTACCCATTTACAAGAATTATCAAAAAGGATCAGCCAGCAATAAGCTTTATATTAAAAATTTACACAAAGATGTAACCACTGATGATTTAAGATTAATCTATCAACGTTATCTTAAGACTGAGGCTCTCAGTTTAGATATAAAAGTTATGCAACATGGTCGTATGAAGGGACAAGCTTTTGTTACTTTTCAGGGCCAGGAAATGGATATTATAAAGCCTTTAATAGCTGAAGCTTTAGAGGAAACTAATGGTTTTGTATTACGCGATAAACCCATGGTAGTGTGTTATGGAAAACAAACTTAAAGAAAGAGGTTAATATGGTTGTTTTTGGGGAAAATTTTTGTTATATAGTCTTTAGTAGTTGAAACTAAACTAAATTTAGTCTTATTTTTATAGGCAAAATTTGCTACATTTTTTATAGAAATCAAGCCAAAATTTAACCTATTTTGTCTTTACATATTGGCATATTTTGTGGACAGAATTTGGGGCAATAAATGTCATAGTTTGTCTATAGAAATTATGCCAAATTAAGCTATAATTTAATAACATGTTTTAACAGTTACTTAAACCCAGTTTCTGTTTTTTTTTTTCTTTTTATTCTTATTACTTTTAGACCATATTGTCTAATATAATTAAATTTTTTCTTTTTATGCTTTTTTACTTTCAGACAACTTGGTCTTATCGACACCATTTATGTAGATGGTGGACAACCACAAAATAATAATACTTCCACAAAATCCAGTAAATCAAAATTATCTTTACAATCTTATGAATATGTTATAGCAGTAGATTTTGAAGCCACTTGCTGGGAAAATAAAGCTCCCCCGAAATGGCGTGAATCTGAAATTATAGGTAAAAGAAAAACTTTAATTAAAAAGTGTTTCAATTTTACATAAATTTCATTTTGTTTTCCAGAATTTCCCGCTGTTTTGGTTAATCTAAAGACCGGCAAAATCGAAGCAGAATTTCATAAATACATCATGCCCATTGAATCACCCAAATTGAGTGCATTTTGCACTGAACTCACTGGCATAACACAGAAAACTGTCGATAATGGCATACCACTGCAGACTGCCCTTATGATGTTTCAGGAATGGTTGCGCAAAGAGTTAAGAGCTCGCCATCTAATGCTGCCCAAAGTATCAAAAGATAATAAAATTGGCAATTGTGCTTTTGTCACCTGGACCGATTGGGATTTTGGCATATGTTTGGATAAGGAATGCAGCCGGAAACGTATTAAGAAACCACCATATTTTAATCAATGGATTGATATGCGTGTCATATACAGGGAATGGTATAAGTATAAACCGCTTAATTTTCTCGACGCCCTCACCTATGTGGGTCTACAGTTTGAGGGTAAACAACATTCGGGCATAGATGATGCTAAGAATTTAGCCGCTTTAACACACAAATTGGTAAATGATGGTGCCACTTTGGCCATAACCAAAGATTTGACACCCTTCCAATTGAATTTGAATTGTGTTTTCTAAACGAACAACAACATTAGCAACAACAACCATAATACACCAAACTGTAGCCATAGCTTAACTAACTAGGTTTTAAAAACAACTAGGTCTAGGGAGTATTTTTTTACATATTAACAAAACAAAAAACAACTTAACTATATTTAAAAAAAAAAAAAACAAAAAACATCACAAAACCTAAAAAACAAATTATTAATTTATATAATTACTTTACTATAACTACTATTTTATAACAAATAAACAAGAAAATTACAAGACTTGAAATACTTTTTTTTATAAAAAAATCTAAAAATCAAAACACGAAACTTAAAGAAATTATAAATTTCTCGTAATGTTTAATATAAAAAGTCTTTTTATAACTTTTTTTACCTAAGAAAAATTAAGGCCAATTTTAAATTTTTTTAAATAAAAGTAAAATTAAAATTAAGTTAAAAGTAAATTAACAAAATAAAGTATTTTTAAAGACCAATATTTAATATACAAACAATTTCCAATAATAATCTTAAAAAACGAAAAAAACTTATTGCTTTTTTTTAGTATTTACCACACAACACACATTTTTGTACTTTATTTATAATGAGAAAATGAAAAAATAGAAAAGAAAAACACACACACACACCTAATGACATGATATTAAATAAAAATATTCAAATATTCAAGTATATAAATACATAACTTTGAATTTAAATAAAATCTGTAGAAAAGTAAGTATTTCAAAATAAAAAGATATAATAACCATACCTAGCAAAAAAGGAACATCCAAAGAATATCAATTTGTTTTTTCTCCATAGTCTAGTCTGTAGTGTAGTCTATACTAGTCTAGTCTATAGTGTAGTCTATAGTGTAGTTATTTAGTTAGTTTGAAAGGAGGATGTATATACATTAACTCCATAACCAGTGCCTCAGGTGGGAATCTAACCCACCACCTCCGGTCTTCCAGACTAGAACACTAACCTACCGGAGGCCAGAGTGTAGTCTATAGTGTAGTCTATAGTCTAGTCTATAGACTAGTCTATAGTCTAGAGTAGTCATAGTAGTCTATAGTCTAGTCTATACTCAAGTCTATAGTCTAGTCTATAGTCTAGTCTATAGTCTAGTCTATAGTCTAGTCTATAGTCTATAGTATAGTCTATAGTCTAGTCTATAGTCTAGTCTATAGTCTAGTCTATAGTCTAGTCTATAGTCTAGTCTATAGTCTAGTCTATAGTCTAGTCTATAGTCTAGTCTATAGTCTAGTCTATAGTCTAGTCTATAGTCTAGTCTATAGTCTAGTCTAGTCTAGTCTAGTCTAGTCTATAGTAGTCTAGTCTATAGTCTAGTCTATAGTCTAGTCTATAGTCTAGTCTATAGTCTAGTCTATAGTCTAGTCTATAGTCTAGTCTATAGTCTAGTCTATAGTCTAGTCTATATTCTAGTCTAGTCTATAGTCTAGTCTATAGTCTAGTCTATAGTCTAGTCTATATTCTAGTCTAGTCTATATTCTAGTCTAGTCTATAGTCTAGTCTATAGTCTAGTCTATAGTCTACTCTATAGTCTAGTCTATAGTCTAGTCTATAGTCTACTCTATAGTCTAGTCTATAGTCTAGTCTATAGTCTAGTCTATAGTCTAGTCTATAGTCTAGTCTATAGTCTAGTCTATAGTCTAGTCTATAGTCTAGTCTATAGTCTAGTCTATAGTCTAGTCTATAGTCTACTCTATAGTCTAGTCTATAGTCTAGTCTATAGTCTAGTCTATAGTTCTACTCTATAGTCTAGTCTATAGTCTACTCTATAGTCTAGTCTATAGTCTAGTCTATAGTCTACTCTATAGTCTAGTCTATAGTCTAGTCTATAGTCTACTCTATAGTCTAGTCTATAGTCTAGTCTATAGTCTACTCTATAGTCTAGTCTATAGTCTAGTCTATAGTCTAGTCTATAGTCTAGTCTATAGTCTAGTCTATAGTCTAGTCTATAGTCTAGTCTATAGTCTAGTCTATAGTCTAGTCTATAGTCTAGTCTATAGTCTAGTCTATAGTCTATAGTCTAGTCTATAGTCTAGTCTATAGTCTAGTCTATAGTCTAGTCTATAGTCTAGTCTATAGTCTAGTCTATAGTCTAGTCTATAGTCTAGTCTATAGTCTAGTCTAGTCTATAGTCTAGTCTAGTCTATAGTCTAGTCTAGTCTATAGTCTAGTCTAGTCTATAGTCTAGTCTATAGTCTAGTCTATAGTCTAGTCTATAGTCTAGTCTATAGTCTAGTCTATAGTCTAGCCTATAGTCTAGTCTATAGTTTAGTCTAAATTCGGAACTATAGTTTAGTCTAGATTCGGAACTATAGTTTAGTCTAGATTCGGAACTATAGTTTAGTCTAGATTCGGAACTATAGTTTAGTCTAGATTCGGAACTATAGTTTAGTCTAGATTCGGAACTATAGCCTAGTCTATAATGTTGCTTATAGCCTAGTCTATAGTCTGGATTATAGTATCGTCTAAATTCTGCTCTATACATTGATTTATAGTCAAGCTAGTTATCTTGTCTATAATGTAATATTTAGTCTTAACGACAGTCTATTCTATAGTCTAGTCTTTAGCATTTCTTATGACAACAAGATGGTATGGTGACTCCATTAATGTTAAAAATAATACTCTATTTTATTAATTAATATGAATAATTAATCACCAGAATGAATATTATTTAAATAAATCACAATAAGAGCAGATGATCGAAGGTTAAATCATACAAAATACTATAAACAATTCACAATGGCAATAAAAAAATATACAGATATTTTAATAAAATAATAAATAAGGGAAATCCCCTCAAATTCTCGGTTTGACTATAAATTTATTTAATGATATTAGTCACTCAATGTACTGTATGACTAGAAATTTTTTTTAGTGATAAAATTGAACAAAATATTTGCATGCAATCAGTAGCTATTCTACAGTCAAATAACAAAGGAATAAATATTAACAAAGCGTTTTTTAAACCCAGCTGATATTAAATTCAAATTAAAAGTTTTTCTCTGTTAATTAAACTAAAGTTAACATTTGTTATAAAAGAAACATTTCAACAAGTTTTCGAACAAAATGGATAACAATGAGAAGTAAATATTTTTACAAGTTTTCACAAATTTGTTATAAATTATTAATAATTTCATTAATTAATAGAGCCGCCAATGACTCTAAACGGCCTTATAAGTATATAGTAGCGTTGGATTTTGAAGCCACCTGTTGGTTGCATCAACCACCGGCAGAATATAGAAATGCAGAAATTATAGGTTCGTGTTACTTTCCCTGAACAAAGAAGTGCCAATGTTTAATATTTTTTTATTTTATAGAATTTCCAGCAGTTTTATTAAATCTAGAAACTGGGCAAATAGAAGCTGAATTTCATCAATATCTCAAGCCCAGAGAAAAGCCGCAATTAAGTGATTATTGTCTTGAACTCACTGGTATAACCCAGCAAACAGTTGATAATGGCATATCATTAAAATCGTGCCTACAACTGTTCGAAGAATGGTTAAGCAAAGAATTGAGATCACGTCAACTCCAACTGCCAAAGGAATCAAAAGATAACCCATTGGGCAATTGTGCTTTCGTTACATGGAGCGATTATGATTTGAGCGTATTTTTAGAATTAGAATGTCGTAGAAAATCGATTGAAAAACCTAAATATTTAGATCAATGGATTAATATGCAAGCAATATTTAAAAAAAAATTCCATAGAAGAAAAAGTAATAACTTTTCGAATGCTTTAAATTATGTCGGCTTAAAATTTAGAGGCCAACAACATGCTGGTATTGATGATGCCCGAAATTTAGCTTACTTAACATATAAAATGGTTAAGAAGGGGACAACTTTGAAGATAACCACTGATATGTCTCCCACTGTTTGGAATCTTAATTGTTTCTGATGAAAATTGTTCTATAAAACAAATCTTTAAATTTCCTTTCATGGAGTGATTTAATAAAATTTTTATGACAAACTTTAATGTTTGTGTCTATAGCCAATTTTTAAATTCTGTATAATCAATAGCTTTAACTTAGTCTATAGTCTAGTCTATAGTATACATAGTCTATAATCTTTTCTATATCTTTTCTATAGTCTGGCCTATAGTATTTTGTATCGTCTAGTCTACAGTCTAGTCTATAGTATGGTCTATAGTCTAGTGTACAGTCTAGTCTATAGTCTAGTCCATAGTCTAGTCTATAGTCTAGTCCATAGACTAGTCTATAGCCTAGTCTATAGTCTAGTCTACAGTCTAGTCTATAGTCTAGTCTACAGTCTAGTATATAGTATAGTCCATAGTATAGTCTATAGTCTAGTCTACAGTCTAGTCTACAGTCTAGTCTATAGTCTAGACTACAGTCTATAGTCTAGTCTATAGTATACATAGTCTATAATCTTTTCTATATCTTTTCTATAGTCTGGCCTATAGTAGTTTGTATCGTCTAGTCTACAGTCTAGTCTATAGTATGGTCTATAGTCTAGTGTACAGTCTAGTCTATAGTCTAGTCCATAGTCTAGTCTATAGTCTAGTCCATAGTCTAGTCTATAGTCTAGTCAATAGTCTAGTCTATAGTCTAGTCAATAGTCTAGTCTATAGTCTAGTCTATAGCCTAGTCTATAGTCTAGTCTATAGTCTAGTCTACAGTCTAGTCTATAGTCTAGTCTAGTCTACAGTCTAGTATATAGTATAGTCCATAGTCTAGTCTACAGTCTAGTCTACAGTCTAGTCTACAGTCTAGTCTAGTCTATAGTCTAGTCTACGCCAGAAAAGGTATCAATAAAACAACATATTTTAATCAGTGGAAGTCTTTAAGAAATATACAAATTCCTATAGACGTAGTAACTTCAAATAGGTATGCCCTAAATTATATCGGCTTACAATTCAATGGTAAGGAACATTCGTGCTTAGAAGATGCACGTAATACAGCTACTTTTACACGTGAACTGGTTAAGAAGGGTGTTAATTTAAAGACAAACACTGATTTGACTCCCTCTACTTGGAATCTTCATTACATCTAAAGAATCTAACGAGTATTTTTAAACATTTAATTTTTCGTTAACTTTTTTTCTTACCTTTTTAAGTTATTTTTACTAAAATTTATTAAAACATTTGTAAAAGTTATTAAATTCACTTATACCTCCTTACTTTTCACGTTAAATATGTAATATTTTTAAAAACTCACTTTATATAAATTATTTATAATTAAACTTCAACAAATTTGCACGGAGCCACAATAAAAAGCTTCGCTTTCATAGGGCGCCATTTTATTAAGACTTCAAAGCTGATTAAGAATAATTAGCGCCGTTCACAATAATGTAACGGTGGCAATTGAAAAGAAAAAATAAGGATTTACAATTTCAATTAAATAAATTTTGTAAAAATTCAAGGTTTTGATTATGGTTTTAACAAAATTTAAATTTAATTTGTATTGTATACATCTCAATACAGTATCGCAAAAATCCTGGTTTGTAATCCCTTCTAAAATTTGGTCAAAACTTTTAACTAAGCGCATCTCTTTTAAGGGTTTAATTATAACCTAGTACATAATACATATTTTCTGTCTATAGTCTCATAACAAACTAAGTTTAAAATACAACTTTATTTGTTGGAATAATTAAAATGTGCATTTCAAAAACGATAGAAGGGATATATACATACATATGTATATATAGGTATGTGCGCTATAAACAATTCACAATTGCAATCAATTATAGAACATCTATAAATTTAAAACATAAAGGGACATCCCCTTTAATTATTTATTTAACAATCAATTATTAACTACTGAATAAGTTTTATTATAGTATTATTTCAAAAGTATAAATACTAAAAGTCGTATATCTGGGAAAATATATGTATAACAACTAGAAAAAATTGTATATGGGAATATTGTATTTAGTGTAGCAAAGCACACTGGGTAAGCTAGTTCCATACAGAGGGCGAAGTCGACTTAAAATTGTCGGCGGCGGCGGCGGCTGATCCAAAATAATTCGGCGGCGGCTTAAAGTCGGCTCAGAGCCGAACGTTTTTAGGGAAATTGAAACTCTTAAATTTATGTTCAAAAATAATGTAAATATCAAAATTTAGAGACTGGGAGGATCACTTTGCTTAAAATATTAATAATAAATGATTTTTAAAAAAGGCTCAAAAGTTTCTAGATTTAGTCTACTTTAATTCTCATTTACACTATCTGGAATCTTATGAAGAAATTGTGGATGGAACAAATAAAAAATATTTAAATTAACAAGACATACATTTACATATCTTTTAAATTTTTTTTTTTTTTTTTTTTTTTGCAAAATATATATATTATTAATATAAACAAATTTTAGCATAATAGTTCCGAAACAACTTATTGCCCATTCACATTCATATAAAAAATATAACAATGAATATACATATCGGGAGTATTGAAAACTATAAAATATCGCTTGTTACATATATCCTTTGTAAAAATCTTGTACGTTTTCCAAATATAATTTGGCCAATAATAATTCATTATGTTACAGAATCAAAAATAATTGGTCCTACGGTCTATAGTCTAGTTAATAAAAACATTAAAAAATTTGAGTCGTCTATAGTCTAGTCAATAGTCTAGTCTATAGTCTAGCCTAGTCTATAGTCTAGCCTAGTCTATAGTCTAGCCTAGTCCATAGTCTAGCCTAGTCTATAGTCTAGCCTAGTCTATAGTCTAGCCTAGTCTATAGTCTAGTCTATAGTCTAGTCTATAGTCTAGTCTATAGTCTAGTCTATAGTCCAGTCTATAGTCCAGTCTATACTCTAGTCTACAGTCTAGTCTAGTCTAGTCTATAGTCTAGTCTATAGTTTAGTCTATAGTCTAGTCTATAGTCTAGTCTAGTCTATAGTCTAGTCTAGTCTATAGTCTAGTCTAGTCTATAGTCTAGTCTATATTCTAATCTATAGTCTAGTCTATAGTCTAGTCTATAGTCAGGTCTATAGTCTAGTCTATAGTCAAATCTATAGTCTAGTCTATAGTCTAGTCTATAGTCTAGTCTATAGTCTAGTCTATAGCCTAGTCCAGTCTTTAGTCTAGTCTTTAGTCTAGTCTTTAGTCCAGTCTAAAGTCTAGTCTAGTCTTTAGTCTATAATCTAGATTGTAGTCTAGTCTATATTCTGATCTGGAGTTTCGACTATAGTCTTGTCGACTATATAGTCTTTACTCTACTCGACTTTATTATCTTAACTATACTCTAGAATTCTAAAAAAACCCATCATAACTATGTTGGATAACGGATTTGGAAGTGTTTCGATTGTTGCAAAATAGTTTTTTTGTACTAAAAGAATATTCCAATGTTTTATAAAAATTTGTTTCTTCCAAGAAAAAGACATCAATTTAAATTACTATTTATAAAATATGGAAGCATATGAAGATTCTATAGAGCATGAAAGAAATAGCAATATAAAATATTTGAGTATATTGCTAAATATTTAAGGGGAACCCCCTAAATTAATTATATTATATAACATTGGAAATGAAATGTCACTATAGGAAATGCTTAAAGCGCGAAAGAGATGGCAATGAATTAATAAAAGTAGTATTTCAAATTTAAATTTTGAGAATTGTAGTTACTTGGTGAAAAACTTTCAATCTATTCGCAACGATTAAAAAACTTTTTCATAACAAACATTTTTAAACTTTTTAAAATTTCACAGAATATTTTAAATAAACAGGACAATGTTTGCGTAAGTAATTTTTTAAACGAATGTAATTGAAGTGTTAATAGATATTGATGAAATTCCAATTAAATTGAAATTAAGAATTCGAATTTAATGATTTTAATACAATTTAAATTTTAATTTAAATGTTTTAAAAACATTAAAAAATTTGAGTCGTCTTAAGCCGAGTGTTTGGGCGGCGGCTCAAGCAACTAAATATAGTGCGCCGACTCGAAGCCGGTCGACTTCGCCCTCTGGTTCCATATATAATTTTATTATTGTTGATTCTAAACATAACATTTTCGCCAAAAATAAACAATGACTTCGTAAGTATTTACACATTTCAAATAAATTTATGATAAAAACAAAAAAGGTGTGGTCAAAATCTCGCTAAAGTTTTTTTTTGTGATTCATAATCTAGAAATATGTTCATATTATGTACATATTTTAATAAAAACTTATTAAACTGTTTTTTTTTTTTACAGTCTTAGATTTAAAAAAATAACACCCAAATATATTATAGCTGTTCATTTTGCGGCTACATGCTGGGAAAAACAACCTTCACCGAAGTTTCGGAATGCAGAAATTATAGGTTCATTTTATAGCTATAAACATAACAAGTTTATATTATTAAAAATATTTTAATTTTACAGAATTTCCAGCAGTTTTAATGAATTTAGAAACTGGCGCTATAGAAGCCGAATTTCATGAATATGTCAAGCCCACGGAAAAACCCCAATTAAGTGAATTTTGCATTAAAATTACTGATATTATGCAGACGACTGTCGATAATGCTATAACTCTAGATAGTGTTTTAATCAAGTTTGAAAAATGGTTGGTAAACGAATTGAAGACTCGTCAGCTGGTGTTGCCAAAATTTTCACCACTTAATGTAGAGGGCAATTGTGCCTTTGTAACCTGGTCCGATTGGGATTTCGATGTATGTTTACATAAAGAGTGCATTAGGAAAAATATAAAAAAACCCGAATATTTTAATCAATGGATTAAAATTCGTCACTTATTCAGGGGTTCCACAAGATATATGCCTGATAACTTTACAGATGCCTTACGTCATTTAGGCTTAACATTTATTGGTAACGAGCATTCAGGTATAGATTATGCCAAAAATATGGCAGCCTTAACTCATAAATTGAAGAATAGAGGTGTTGCATTACAAATAACGGAAGACTTGACACCAAATAAGTGTAATGATAATAGTATTTTTGAGTAGTATTAATAAAAACTAATAATTTTCGCATACACTCTCTAAAGTATCGTATTTTATCACAAGTGAATATGTAAAGCTTAGTTCGCACCTATCAAATATCGAAACTTAAAATTTTTTGTAAAACTTTTTTAAAAACTAATAAAATGTTCTGAAATTAACCAAAAAATATTATTTCCAATATTGATACTTATTTGTACTACTAAACGTAGTACAGGATATTACATGATATTGTAGTTTTACGGGAGGATATAGTCCAGCATATCAGTGTCTAGTCTATAATCTAGTCTATGGTCTAGTCTATAAACTAGTCTATAATACGGTCTAGTTTTTATTATAATTTATTGTCTAGTCTATAGACTGGTCTATAATCTAGTCTATATTCTAGTCTAATCTATAATCTAGTCTATATTCTAGTCTAATCTATAGTCTAGTCTATAGTCTAGCCTAGTCTATAGTCTAGTCTATAGTCTAGTCTATAATCTAGTCTATAGTCTAGTCTATAGTCTAGCCTAGTCTATAGTATAGTCTATAGTCTAGCCTAGTCTATAGTATAGTCTATAGTCTAGCCTAGTCTATAGTATATCCTATAGTCTAGCCTAGTCTATAGTCTAGCCTAGTCTATAGTCTAGCCTAGTCTATAGTCTAGCCTAGTCTAGTCTATAGTCTAGTCTATAGTCTAGTCTATAGTCTAGTCTATAGTCTAGTCTATAGTCTAGTCTATAGTCTAGTCTATAGTCTAGTCTATAGTCTAGTCTATAGTCTAGTCTATAGTCCAGTCTATAGTCCAGTCTATAGTCCAGTCTATACTCTAGTCTACAGTCTAGTCTACAGTCTAGTCTACAGTCTAGTCTATAGTCTAGTCTATAGTCTAGTCTAGTCTATAGTCTAGTCTATAGTCTAGTCTAGTCTATAGTCTAGTCTAGTCTGTAGTCTAGTCTAGTCTATAGTCTAGCCTAGTCTATAGTATAGTCTATAGTCTAGCCTAGTCTATAGTATAGTCTATAGTCTAGCCTAGTCTATAGTCTAGCCTAGTCTATAGTCTAGCCTAGTCTAGTCTATAGTCTAGTCTATAGTCTAGTCTATAGTCCAGTCTATAGTCCAGTCTATAGTCCAGTCTATACTCTAGTCTACAGTCTAGTCTACAGTCTAGTCTATAGTCTAGTCTATAGTCTACTCTAGTCTATAGTCTAGTCTAGTCTATAGTCTAGTCTATAGTCTAGTCTATAGTCTAGTCTATAGTCTAGTCTAGTCTATAGTCTAGTCTGTAGTCTAGTCTAGTCTATAGTCTAGTCTATAGTCTAGTCTATAGTCTAGTCTAGTCTAGTCTAGTCTATAGTCTAGTCTATATTCTAGTCTATAGTCTAGTCTATAGTCTAGTCTATAGTCTAATCTATAGTCTAGTCTATAGTCTAGTCTATAGTCTAGTCTATAGTCAGGTCTATAGTCTAGTCTACAGTCTAGTCTATAGTCTAGTCTATAGTCTAGTCTATAGTCAGGTCTATAGTCTAGTCTATAGTCAGGTCTATAGTCTAGTCTATAGTCAGGTCTATAGTCTAGTCTATAGCCTAGTCCAGTCTTTAGTCTAGTCTATAGTCCAGTCTTTAGTCTAGTCTATAGTCTAGTCTTTAGTCCAGTCTATAGTCTAGTCTAGTCTATAGTCTAGTCTATAGTCTAGTCTATAGTCTAGTCTAGTCTATAGTCTAGTCTATAGTCTAGCCTAGTCTATAGTCTAGCCTAGTCTATAGTCTAGCCTAGTCTAGTCTATAGTCTAGTCTATAGTCCAGTCTATAGTCCAGTCTATACTCTAGTCTACAGTCTAGTCTATAGTCTAGTCTATAGTCTAGTCTATAGTCTAGTCTATAGTCTAGTCTATAGTCTAGTCTATAGTCTAGTCTAGTCTATAGTCTAGTCTATAGTCTAGTCTATAGTCTAGTCTATAGTCTAGTCTATAGTCTAGTCTATAGTCTAGTCTATAGTCTAGTCTAGTCTAGTCTATAGTCTAGTCTATAGTCTAGTCTAGTCTATAGTCTACTCTATAGTCTAGTCTATAGTCTAGTCTATATTCTAGTCTATAGTCTAGTCTATAGTCTAGTCTATAGTCTAGTCTATAGTCTAGTCTATAGTCTAGTCTATAGTCTAGTCTATAGTCTAGTCTATAGTCTAGTCTATAGTCTAGTCTATAGTCTAGTCTAGTCTATAGTCTACTCTATAGTCTAGTCTATATTCTAGTCTATAGTCTAGTCTATAGTCTAGTCTATAGTCTAGTCTATATTCTAGTCTATAGTCTAGTCTATAGTGTAGTATATAGTCTTATCTATAGTCTAGTCTATTCTATAGTCTAGTCTATAGTCTAGTCTATAGTCAGGTCTATAGTCTAGTCTATAGCCTAGTCCAGTCTTTAGTCTAGTCTATAGTCTAGTCTAGTCTTTAGTCTATAATCTAGATTGTAGTCTAGTCTATATTCTGATCTGGAGTTTCGACTATATAGTCTTTACTCTACTCGACTTTATTATCTTAACTATACTCTAGAATTCTAAAAAAAACCCATCATAACTAGGGTTCTATAGTTGAAACGAAAAGTCGACTTTTCGACTTTTAGACTTTTTGCATTTAGTTAAAAGTCGACTTTTCGACCTTTCGACTTTTTCCATTTTATGAAAAGTCGATTTTTCGACTTTTCGACCTTTTTCATTTATTTAAAAGTCGACTTTTAGACTTTTCGACTTTTAGTATTTTATAAATGGTCGACTTTTCGACCTTTCGACTTTTTCCGACTTTTCGACTTTTTCCGACTTTTCGACTTTTTCCGACTTTTTTCGACTTTTCGACTTTTTCCGACTTTTTTCGACTTTTCGACTTTTCGACTTTTTTCGACTTTTTCGACTTTTTCCGACTTTTTTCGACTTTTTTCGACTTTTTCCGACTTTTCGACTTTTCGATTTTTTACGACTTTTTGACTATTTTCGACTTATTTCGACTTTTTTTCGACTTTTTTCGACTATTTTTTTACTTTTTTCGAGTTTTTCCGACTATTTTAGAGTTTTTGACCTCTTTTCCACTTTTTTAAAATTTTCGACTATTTTCGACTTTTCGACTTTTTCCGACTTTTCGACTTTTTCCGATTTTTCGACTTTTTTCGACTTTTCGACTTTTTTCGACTTTCTTCGACTTTTTTCGACTTATCGATTTTTTTCGACTTTTCGACTTTTTTCGACTTTTCGACTTTTTTCGACTTTTCGACTTTTATTTACAAAGTCGACTTTTCGACTTTTTTCATAGACGATAGTCGAGTTATCGACTTTTTTGGAACAAAATAGTCGACTTCGACTTTTCGACTTTTTTCGACAAAAAGTCGATTGTTCGATTATTCGAAAGTCGATTTATAGAACCCTAATCATAACTATGTTGGATAACGGATTTGGAAGTGTTTCGATTGTTGCAAAATAGTTTTTTTGTACTAAAAGAATATTCCATTTTTTTATAAAAATTTTTTTCTTCCAAGAAAAAGACATCAATTTAAATTACTATTTATAAAATATGGAAGCATATGAAGTTTCTATAGAGCATGAAAGAAATAGCAATATAAAATATTTGAGTATATTGCTAAATATTTAAGGGGAACCCCCTAAATTAATTATATTATATAACATTGGAAATGAAATGTCACTATAGGAAATGCTTAAAGCGCGAAAGAGATGGCAATGAATTAATAAAAGTAGTATTTCAAATTTAAATTTTGAGAATTGTAGTTACTTGGTGAAAAACTTTCAATCTATTCGCAACGATTGAAAAACTTTTTCATAACAAACATTTTTAAACTTTTTAAAATTTCACAGAATATTTTAAATAAACAGGACAATGTTTGCGTAAGTAATTTTTTAAACGAATGTAATTGAAGTGTTAATAGATATTGATGAAATTCCAATTAAATTGAAATTAAGAATTCGAATTTAATGATTTTAATACAATTTAAATTTTAATTTAAATGTTTGTAATAAAATACAAAGAAAAATTTGTGAAAATTGGAAATAAAATAGTTTGATTATTTTGAATGATTCTATAAATAATTTTGTGTACTTTATAAGTTCCCAGATTTCCCAACAGCGCTACAAGTACATTGTAGTACTGGATTTTGAAGCCACTTGTTGGTTAGGTCAACCACCAGCAGAATATAGAAATGCAGAAATTATAGGTTCGTTTTTATTTTTGCGAATAAGGAAATTTGATTTTTTCTAATTCGGTGTTATTTCTAATACTACAGAGTTTCCGGCAGTTCTTTATAATCTAGAAACCGGTACAGTTGAAGCAGAATTTCAACAATATCTGAAGCCTACGGAAAAACCAAAATTAAGTACGTATTGCCTCGATCTAACTGGCATAACACAAAAAACTGTTGACAATGGCATTTCACTGCAAAAGTGCTTGATAATGTTTGAGGAATGGTTGCGTAAAGAGTTAAGAGCTCGCAATTTACAGCTGCCAAAAACTGTGAAAAACAACGAACTGGGCAATTGCGCCTTTGTGACATGGAGCGAATGTGACCTGGGAATATTTTTGAAACAGGAATGCTACAGAAAAGGCATCAATAAACCAACATATTTTAATCAGTGGATAGATATGCAAGAAGTCTTTAAGAAATATGCAAATTCCCATAGACGTAGTAACTTCAAATATGCCCTAAATTATATGGGCTTACAATTCAAGGGTAAGCAACATTCGGGCTTAGAAGATGCGCGTAATATAGCTGCTTTTACTCGTGCACTTGTTATGAAGGGTGTTAATTTGAAGATAAACGCTGATTTGACCCCCTCTACTTGGAATCTTAATTATTTCTAAAGAAACTAACGAATTTTTAATAACTTTTAAACAGTATTTTAATACAAACATTAAGTTTTTTGTTAATTTAAATTTTTTCTTACCTTTTTATGTTATTTTCACTAAAATTTATGAAAACTTTTGTAAAAGTAATTGAATTCACTTAAACTTCCTTACTTATATATTTTTTTTAATTCACTTTAAATATGAAATATTTTTTAAAAATAAACTTAAAATATAAATTATTTAAAGTTAAACTTCAATAAATTTGCACTGAGTTACAATAAAAAGCTTTGCTTTTTTAAGGCACCATTTTATTAAGAGTTCAAAGCTGATTATGAGTAAACAGCGCCGTTCACAATAATGTAACGGTGGCAATTCAAAAGAAAAAAAAATAATATTAGTGCTCCTAGGGATTTTGTAATTCAAAATTTTGAATATGTTTTTAAAGATATTTAATACTAATTTATATAGTATACATCTCAGTACAGTATCGCAAAAATCCTGGTTTGTAATCCCTTCTAAAATTTGGTCAATATTTTTAACTAAGGGCACCTCTTACTGCTGTAAATGAATCATTCATTTCTGATTTTAATTCGTTTACGAACTGGCTTAATTTTGAATTAATTCATTTCACAAGAAAGAAAATTTAATGAAATTTGAATCAATTCAAATGATAATAATAACTTTCTGCAGATTTGTAAGTAAATCTACAGTGTAGATTTACTAACAAAATCGATTCATATCTCAATCAATTCAATTCAAATGAGTTGAAAAGAATTGCCAATTCCTTTTTCTAATTCATTCGAATTAATTCAAAATCAATTTAATTCAAATGGATTGGAAATGAATTGCAATTCATTTGAATTGGAAACAAATTGCAATTCATTTACCAAATTGATTTGAGTTGGAAATTAATTGCAATTTCTTTTTACCAATTTCATATGAATTGACTCAAATTTCATTCAATTCATTTTTTATGTAAAAAGAATTAATTCAAAATTTGGTAATTCAATTCACAAATAATTCACGAATTAATTCAAAATGGATGATTCATTTACAGCTCTAAAACTTTGCCAATAGAATTGACTATATTCTATTCTAGTTTATACTGTAGTCTTTTCTATAGTCTAATCTATAGTCAATTCTATAGTCTAATCTATAGTCTATAGTTTTATCAACAATCTTCTATTCAATACTCTAATCTTTAGTATACTTTATTTTATAGTCTAGTCTATAATCTAGTCTATAGTCTAGCCTACAGTCTAGTCTATAGTTTCATCTACAATCTAGTCTACATTATATTCCATAATACTCTAATCTTTAGTCTAGTTTATTATATACATAGTCTAGTCTATAATCTAGTCTATAGTCTAGTCTATGGTCTAGCCTACAGTCTAGTCTACAGTCTAGTCTATAGTCTAGTTTATTGTCTAATCTACTGTCTAGTTTATACATTTTTTAACGATTTTCAATTTTAGTAAGTCTTATGTAAAAAAATACTAATACTTTATTATTAATTACTTCCTTTTAAAATCTACTAAATATCTTCACACAACAATAGAAGAGAAGAGAAGTGATATTGGTTCACAAAGTTGATCGAATAAATACATAATAACGGTAAAAGCGTTTCAATCACATCAACGGCTTATTGTAGAGTTAAATAGCCGTCGTTACATTATTGTAAACGGCGTCTTTTATTTTTTAACGGCTTTGTTGTGTTTTAAAGAAAAAAGCGCGTTTCCTTTAGAAAAAAATTTAATTTTTTTTGTTACAAGTTTCAAATTTTTGGCGTAAGCCGTAATTGGTGATGGCGTTATGAATATTTCGAGGCCAAATAATTTCTCCTTAGCGGTATCGTACTGTTAAGGGGGCAACTTAAATCAAAACCAAACCAAGTTTCAAATTAAAAGTAAGTACAATTATTTTTACAAAATTAATCAAATTAATGTAAAAAAGCAAAGTTAATTAGTGAAATTACCATAAAATTAGCTAGTTTTCGCAAGCCAACACTTTCCTTAACCATTTTACTAGTAAAAGCAGCTAAACACGAATGTTCCCTACCCTTAAACTTTAAATCCATATAATACAGGCAAAAGAAAGGTTGCTACATTCGGTTCTAAGCAATTGCTCCTTCCATAATATAATGTAGTAATAACTATAGTATAACCTGTAGTCAAGTTCAATGCCCTGACTGCGGTCTTGTCAATAGTCAGTGTACTGTAAAGTCTACTTTAGTCTCCACTATAGTTTAGTCTGTAGTCGACGATTAGTTGATCAGTAGTCCAGTCTATAACTTGATGTCTAGTCCATAGTTTGGACTAAAAAAGAAGCTAATAAAACAAGTAAAGGTTTTATAATTTTGTTAATATTTTTAATATATTTGTATAATTTATAAATACTATATTATTTTTTGTAATATTTTTTATAATGTTTAGAAAAAAATATATATTGTAAGAAGAAAAAATAAAATTCAACAGAGATTTTTAACCATAAATAAGAGATTTTAAAATAGGTTTAATCTCAAAAAAAAGCACTTACAAACTAATATTAATAACAAAAACAACATAAATAATTAACAAAATATGATAGATATAGCCAATATGATAAAAAATAAATAAATCAAATAACATTTGAGCATTTTAATTTTTGTTCATATAAAAACGTTTCCAATATAAATAAGTTTATGCAAAAATTTTTTGTTGTTTGGTGTTAAACACTTTTCAATTTGTATTAATTTATCGTATATTTGTGTGAGTGTAAGTTTCAAATTACAAAAAAGCGCGTGTAGTTTAAAATTGAGTTTTTGCATTATTAGTTATTTTTTGTTTTCTTTTCTTTAATAAATATATAATTTAGTGCAATAATAAGTTATTTTATTTATTTTCTGTTTCACAGTTATTTGAGGACTCCTTAGTTGAACCGTTAGAGACTGTTGTGGGGGTAGTGGTGGTGGTGGTGGGTGAGGTTTTTGTGGGGTTTGTTGTTTCTATTTCCAAAAGTTGTTTTAATAGATTAATACAAATTTTGGAACCTTCCATGGCTTCATTAGAGAGCTTATAGAAAGAAATGTAAATAAATTATTTTTATTTTTATATAATTTGCTTAAAGTTGAAAAAGTCTTACCATTGTAAAATTTAGGAAACCATGTGGTAATCCCTTTAAAATATCCAAAGTAACTGGTCTATTAAGTCTTTTTAATTTTTTGGCAAACATTACACAATCATCTAGACAAGGATCCATTTCTAAAGTCTGTAGTAAAAGAATTTATTCAAGGATTTGAATCAAAACTTAACTCAGTCTGGACTATAGCCTAGCCCTGGACTATAGTCTAGACTATAGTCCAGACTATAGACTAGACTATAGTCCAGACTATAGACTAGACTATAGTCCAGACTATAGACTAGACTATAGACTAGACTGTAGTCCAGACTATAGACTAGACTATAGTCCAGACTATAGACTAGACTATAGTCCAGACTATAGACTAGACTATAGTCCAGACTATAGACTAGACTATAGTCCAGACTATAGACTAGACTATAGTCCAGACTATAGACTAGACTATAGTCCAGACTATAGACTAGACTATAGTCCAGACTATAGACTAGACTATAGTCCAGACTATAGACTAGACTATAGTCCAGACTATAGACTAGACTATAGTCCAGACTATAGACTAGACTATAGTCCAGACTATAGACTAGACTATAGTCCAGACTATAGACTAGACTATAGTCCAGACTATAGACTAGACTATAGTCCAGACTATAGACTAGACTATAGTCCAGACTATAGACTAGACTATAGTCCAGACTATAGACTAGACTAGTCCAGACTATAGACTAGACTATAGTCCAGACTATAGACTAGACTATAGTCCAGACTATAGACTAGACTATAGTCCAGACTATAGACTAGACTATAGTCCAGACTATAGACTAGACTATAGTCCAGACTATAGACTAGACTATAGTCCAGACTATAGACTAGACTATAGTCCAGACTATAGACTAGACTATAGTCCAGACTATAGACTAGACTATAGTCCAGACTATAGACTAGACTATAGTCCAGACTATAGACTAGACTATAGTCCAGACTATAGACTAGACTATAGTCCAGACTATAGACTTGACTATAGTCCAGACTATAGACTAGACTATAGTCCAGACTATAGACTAGACTATAGTCCAGACTATAGACTAGACTATAGTCCAGACTATAGACTAGACTATAGTCCAGACTATAGACTAGACTATAGTCCAGACTATAGACTAGACTATAGTCCAGACTATAGACTAGACTATAGTCCAGACTATAGACTAGACTATAGTCCAGACTATAGACTAGACTATAGTCCAGACTATAGACTAGATTATAGTCCAGACTATAGACTAGACTATAGTCCAGACTATAGACTAGACTATAGTCCAGACTATAGACTAGACTATATTCCAGGTTATAGCATTTTGTAAAAATAAATACCTTCAAACATCATCCACTTACCAATATCTTCGTATTCGGCATTTGTTTTAACCACTCGTCACTAGCGTAGTAAGGCGATAGAAATGGATCTTTAGGTATTTGAAAAGCAAACTCCGCACTGGGACTACGTGCTATCAATGCATCCATATTACGTAAATCCTGTAACGGCTTTTGCCCCTCAACTCCATCACTTTTGATCTCATACGATTGTGTATAACGATTAAGTGTATTCGAAATACTGTTAACGGCATTATTAAATCTGCCCTGTATAGTTTCTAGAGCTATAGCCTCTTTGCTCGCTTCAACTAAAAGATTCTCTTCGCTTAGAGTTTTTGCCGGCATAGTTTGTAAGTCGTCTTCTGAACCGGCAATGACCCCACTTTTAACGCCATCCACATCATCGGCCTCCTTAGCCTCTTCGGTAGAGCCATCCACTATATAGGAATCCAAAAAACGATCTATATATTGTTCAGAATCGGAATTTTTATGCGCCGGCACCACGGGATAATGTTCTATGGGCTGAGAATCATCTTCGAAGGAGAGACAGGAGCTATTGTCATCATCCTCTATGGAGGGCAGATCGGTGTGTTCAACAGTTTGACTGTGATAAGAGGCACTAGCAAACGTATTCTCTGAACTATCTTCGGTTTCCTCCTCAGCCATTTCAATGCCATGGGGAATTTTAGAGTTACCCTCGAGATGATCAGTGTTGTGGCACTAAAAAAAACGAATTTTGTTTAGAAATTAGAAAGTTCAT